TTCTTACTTCTTTTGTTAAGTTTAGGTATTTATTTTAATCTTCACAGTCTGGACTTGTTTGGACCTGTCCTTCTTGAGAAGGCTTTCCGGGTATTCAAATGGGATTGAGTATTGTGATCTAAGTCTCTGGTCACTGCAGCTATATTAGAGCAGGGGTGCCCCAAGCTCAGCAATGCTGTGCCTCTTGGAAACTTCTGATGGTACAGCCTTGGTCAGCTTGAGTTAAATACAAGAGATGTCCCTGGATTACCAGGCAAAGTTTCTCACTCTCTTCCCTCACTCTCTGTGGTGGGCTGCTGATGTTGGGGGAGGAGTGATATGGACACTGCCTTGTGGCCACCAGCACCAGGTCACACCTGTGAAGCCAGCCCAATCTCACCCAAAGCCATGGGGACTGTTGCCTCCCTCTGATGTCCACTCTTAGCCCATGGCTCTTTAGTGAGCAGGTGGTGGATCCTGCCAGGACTGGGTCCTTCCCTTCAAGGCAGCATGTTGCCTTCTGGGCCAGGTGGGTCCAAAAAGCTGTCTAGGAACTAACACCTGGACTCAGGGACCTCAGGAGTCTGCTTGGTAATTTATTTTACCATGGCTGAGTTCATGCACAAGTTGCAAAACAAAGTTTTCTGAGTGCTTCCCTTTCCTCTTTTTGCTTAGGTGGAAGGAGACTCTCCCTGAGCCGCACTACCGGGAATTGGGGGAGGGGCGACACAGCACTGGCTTGGCCACAGCTGCTGGTGTCTCACTGGGTCATGTGCATCCCAAGTCCACTGGCTGTGAGCCGGCACAGCTGCAGGAATTGCCCAAGGACTACAGTCCTTTTGGCCCAACCGGCTTAGGAATCTAGTCCAGGCTCTTTGGCAGCAGGTGGTGGGGCTAGCTGGAACTCAGGTTTGGGGCAGAGAATTTCCCTCTGTGGGCACCAGCAGAATTCTGCCCTGTGCTGCGTACCCTGTGCCAGGGTGGCCCTGAGTTTCAAGGCCCCACAATGACTTCACGCTCCCTCTCCCGGGCTCATGGACTCTCTCCACTGGGTGAGCTGGCGCAGCCCTGCCGGGGCTTGGGGAGAGGTCGCACAGGAAAAGGAAACCTGTCTTTTCTGCCCACTTCAGTGCTTCTCTTCTTGACATAATGTTCAAACAAGATCCTGTGATTGCTCACCTGATTTTTAGTTTTCCTGAACATACTTGCTTGCATGGACAGTTGTGATTTAGGGGTCCGTGTGGAGGGAGGATCCCTGGTGGTTTCTACTCAGCCGTCCTGCTCCGCCCCCTGAGGTGGCTTTAAATGCTGGCTTTATCGCCAGGGCTAGTCCCCCTGACAGCTGATGGCGAGTCAGGCAGGGCTGTCCTTGCCTCCACGCAGTGTCCCTGAGCTAGTCCTCAGCTCAGCCCAGGAGGCATGTGCAGGTGTGGCTGTCCCTTTTCACTGACACACGATGAAAGCACAGAGAGGGTAAGCCATTTGGCTGAAACCGCCCAGGGAGTAACGGCAGGACAGGGACCCGATGGTGTGCTGCCCACTCCATCCTCACAGCTCTTCAGAACTTTTGAAGACCAACTGGCTTAAAAACAAAGAGGAATATTATTAATACTGTGCATAGTGTAGGGCAGGCATCCTCAAACTACGGTCTGTGGGCCACATGCGGGTGTTTTTTTAACTACAAAAGAAAATATGTGCAGTGTGCATAGGAATTTGTTCATAGTTTCTTTTTTAACTATACCCCGGCTCTCCAATGGTCTGAGGGACAGTGTACTGGCCCCCTGTTTAAAAAGTTTGAGGACCCCTGGTGTAGGGCATTCACACTTGAATTTACAAGAGCTGGGACATAGAGATTTCGGTCTTAAATTTTAAAGCAAACACATGCTTAATTCAAACAACCGTGGATTACCTCTGATCATATTTCTAAAGAAAAGGGGCAAATTTGAGAGACTAGTGAACCACTTTCAGGATGGGTATCATGGAAACAAGACATGAAGGGGCAGCTCTGCGATGCTCAGGCGACGTCTACTGGAGAGCAGCTCGCTTCCGAGACCTCGTGTGGCCGTCACAGCATCTCAGGGCGCGTCAGAACCAGGGAGGACGCCCGTCTCCACCCAGGACTTCTGAGGATCGCTGATAAATCTCAAGAGAAATATTTCAGGACAATCAGAGATCTACAAGAGCTATCTTCTCCCCTTTTATCCAAGGAGCAATGCTGAACACCATTTAGGATGTTCCATGATGTTTTCAGCCCTCTGTTAGTAAGGTTCCACTTTTTCTTATAGTTGACATTTTTTATTTCCAATAAAGTCACAGACTAGACAAAGTAAAAACTCCCCTACTTCAAAACATCCAGATGTGCTAGATAAAATACATCATCCATTCCTTGAAATGCATAGCTGAGCTCACTGAAATGAATAAGTAAGAAACACCCACAAGGTGTGGAGCAGGGGCCAGAGTCACAGAAAACTGAAAATCAGAGTATTCAGGAGAAGGACGGATGCTGGGGTTGTTCTGATGAGAGGAAGTGTCTTGTTATCTGAATAATCTCAGTTGCAGATTTTGACACCTCCATGGGGTCAGGAGACCCCCTCCCCCATTATTATTGTTAAATAAACCTCTGCAAAAGCCTAATCTTTTATTGACATAAGGATGGGCAGATAGACCAATGGAACACAAGGAGAGTCTAGAAATAAGCCCACACCTGTGGCCACCTGACCTGTGACAAAGGCAGCTAATGGCAACGGTGGGATGCTGAGCTGAGGCTCAGAAGACAGGAGCATCTCCCAGTTCCGGAGGAATTGGCAGAACAGGACTCTGGTTTCCTACAGAAAATGTGACCTCTTAATGTCTGAACGAAGATGATTCAGAAGCTTCATGGGGAAGACTAAGGATTTCATTTAAAAACCTAACACTGCCTTGTGCCTCCCCGTTCTTGAGGCTTCCTAAGAGATCACACTTAGGGCAGTTCCAACTTAGCACATCGGAACCCCTGGAGGCGTGTGGGGAGACAGACTGCTGTAGCCTGGGAGGCCAGGAACCTGCACTGCAAGGAAGAGCTCGGTGATGCTGACACTGCTGGTCCACTTTGGGAATCACGGCTGCAGGGCCGGGTGCTCAGAGCCAGGACGTGCCTGGAATCTGGAAGCAAGCCGATTATTAACATGTCTCAAATGGAAAATGTTCTCAGTTGCAAAAACAAAAAAGAAACTACTATAAAGACACAGAATGCATGTGTGTGAAGTGAGAGAAAATGTTAAATGGAACATGCATTTTAAAAGGGTGAGATTTGCTCTTCAACTAAAGCTTCAGAATGTTGCCAGGCAGAGGGCCGCCGCCGTGGGCACTGAGGTAGAGCTGGGAGACGGCCTGGCCTGCAGGGACACAGGTCCCGTCCTCTCTGGACCTCCCCTTGTCTTAGTGAGGGTTATACAGCCTCTCAGGGCCGCAAAACATAAGGTGAAGTGCTTCCAAAGATACAGAGTCCGTATAGATTCAAATTACCACCTTACTCTTTAGAAGTCACTCTTCTTGAAAGCTGATTAGCATGATTGTCCTACTCTCCGTGTGTGTATAATATGTGGGCTCCTGTTATATTGTTCTATTTCTTATGAACATAATTACTTTCTTATCTCATATGAAATAATTTAAAAGTGTGTCTTCCACCTCCATTGCTTTCCCAGTCTCTCTGGAGTTTTCTTCTCAGCAGGGAAGTTCTGGGTGGTATTTCTGGGCCTGTCCTTTAGCCACAGCGTCACCGGGGTGTGGAGAGAACGGAGCGTCCAGTTGCAGAGCCGAGGCCTCGGTGCTGGGAACACAGAGAGAACTGAGTGACCCAGAAGCAGCGGCACCAGCAAGTCCCAACCCCGGCCGCCAAGTTCCACCATCTCTGGGGGCCGTGGGAAGTGAGTCTGCAGCCTCAACGTGTCACCTACGTTGGACTCATTCGCCCGCGTCCGTGAGGCTGAGCCTACCTGGTCTTTCGATCTGGAGCTGGGCGGCGACGTGTGCCCACTCACCTTTGCCTCAAAGTCCCCTCGCAGCGGCCATCCCTGCGGTGCTGAGCAGGGGAAGTGGAGCCTGTGTCGCCCAGAGTCGCCCTCCCCACAGGGCTCGGGGCAGCCGAACCCAGCGAGGGTCGGGGAAGAACCGCGGAGCCAGCGGGGACCCGGCTCTGGCTCCCCGGCCAGCTCACCTCCTCCGTGGGAGGCTGGACGTTTGCTGTCCACGTCCACAAACTCATGAGGGTTTGTTCCCTTGCCTTCTAGAGTGCTAGGAGGTGGGGGAGGGAAGGAAGCGGCCAGAGACATCAGGAAAAACGGGCTAGGGACCCGAGCGTCCCCGCCTGGGGAAGGTGCCCTGTCCCCTCCTCGGCGTCCCGCCGTGTCTCGCTGGCTTCCACTCGCGCCAGCACTGCTGGTGCTGCCGTGGCCAAGGCAGAGTCTCCTCGGGAAAGTGCTCTGAGCCGTAGGCAGGGTCCCCGGGAGGGCCGGGCAGGGACAAGCCTTCACGGGCAGCTCGTGGGACAGGAGCGGCTCTGGGCCTCGCTGCCCGGGTGAGTCCAGCTCTAAGGCTTTGTGACGTGGCCGAGCTGTCAGCCCTCAGGCTCGCGTTCCCCGTCTGGGCCGTGGAGGCGACAGTGCTGTCCTCCCCAGACTGCTGTCGAGTGCGTGGAGTGAGCCAGGGCACCACGTCGGACGGGTGGTCCGAGCCGTCTGGGCGCGGCTGGTGAGGATGAGGAAGGGCTGTGGTTTGAGCGTCCGGGAGCGCTGTTCCCGGCGGGCTGCAGACAAACATATTGCAAACAGGAAGGGAGACGTCCACGAGTGGCCTTTGCAAGGGCTCGGCGGGACCTGTTTGTTCAGAGGGCACCTTGTTTCCTCTGACGCGTTCATTGCCACTGGAAGTCCTGAGAGCGGCACTTCCCTCGGTGGGGCCCGGAGACCGGAGGCTCGGCCTCTGGCAAAGGCTCTCTCCAGAGACAGCAATACCGCAGCGCCTTTCCCTCCTCTCTCCCGCAGGCCACAGAGGATGAGCCTTCTGAAAAGGACGCCCTGCAGCCTGGCCGCAGCATCGTGGCCGCGGGCTATGCGCTGTATGGCAGTGCCACCCTGGTGGCTCTTTCCACGGGGCAGGGAGTGGACCTCTTCATGCTTGACCCGGTAGGTACAGAATACGGTGGCATCTGTGCTTGGGGACTCCACGGTCCTGTGTTTCAATTCTAGTCTCCTGGGATCATTTCCTGGTCATTCCTAATACTTATTTTGGGGTCCAGAGAGCCTGGTTTGGGGAGCCAACACCATCATCAGAAAACAGGAAGGGCCTCTGTCCACGTGAGGGCACTTTTGGGAGAGGGGACTTACGAGTCTGTTGCATCGACTCAGGCCCTGTCCTTAAGGAGTTTATTTTCCAAAAATGAATTCAACCTCTTTGGTTTATGGGAACACCATAATTTAAGAATGGCAAGGCTGCCAATTTCCAGACAGAAGCATGGATTCTTTTTATTTTTTTATTTTTTTTGAGACAGAGTCTCACTGTGCTGCCCAGGCTAGAGTGCCGTGGCATCAGCCTAGCTCACAGCAACCTCAAACTCCTGGGCTCAAGTGATCCTCCTGCCTCAGCCTCCTGAGTAGCTGGGATTACAGGCACATGCCACAATACCCAGATAATTTTTTTCTATTTTTAGTTGTTTGGCTAATTTGTTTCTATTTATAGTAGAGATGGGGTCTTGCTGTTGCTCAGGCTGGTCTCAAACTCCAGAGCTCAAGCAATCCTCCCGCCTCGGCCTCCCACAGTGCTAGGATCGCAGGCATGAGCCACCGCAGCCAGCCAGAAGCAGGATTCTTTAGAGCACCACCATCCTATGGACTGCTCTGTGAATTTTACTTTTAAATGGTAGATACTTTGCTTATCACTTGTGAAATGCTTTGCCAAGCATAGTCGGGTCTTGTGCAAACTCAAATAATGTTGACCAAGAAACATTTCAAAGCCTCCTGCAGTTACCCAGATGAAAGGTCAGTACTTCAATTTAATTCAGATTTACAAATGTTTACTGAGCATCTACTATGTGCTAAAGCACCATTGTAGGCAGTGGAGACATAGCACTGTTCAAACAATCATTTCAGCCCTGTGGAACATACCTGTTAGTGCATTTGTGTGCAGGGAGGAGGGTTGCAAGATTTCAAAAGAGAACAGTTCACTGACAGAACACATTTTGCAGTGTGGACACCCAGGAACATTTTAAAATACAATAATTTTACATAGAAACCCCATTAGACCTATTGCTGCCTCAGTTTTCTCATACCCCAATGTCCCCTTAATTTTGAAGAAATTCTATGGTTTAGAAATATTACTCTCAGGCAATAAAGTGCCCTTTCTAAAGTTGTTCTAGAACAATAGCTAACAGTTACATAGGTTTTAGTAAGTGGTAGGAATGTAGGTACCTGTTCTAAGCAATTGATATCTATAGGTGCATTTAAATATCACAGCAGCCCTGCGAGGCAGGCCCCACTATTATTCCTATTTTCAGATGAGAGAAGTGAGGCCCAAGGTCCAGCTAGTGACTTGGGTGTGAGGAGTCACCATCAGGGTCTTTGTGCTTAACCAGACTAAAGGTTGAATACATTGCTCTGAAGTGCAAGCAAAATATCTCCAAGAACCTTCTGAGCAGTTCTAAAGACAGTGGAGAGGTGCCTCGAGTCAGGGACCCAATGCCGGGAGTCACAAGCACCCAGCCTCTTCTTCCTGCCTTCAGTCATGAGGGAGAGCCCAGTCTGGACATAGATGGGCACCAGAGCTTGTCTGCGTGACAGGAAAAAGATATTAACCAAAGCATAACAGTGTCTGATCTCTGTGTATTAGCCGGAAAACCCTGTGGGTCACATCCCCTACTGAGAAGGACACTGGAGCAAAGACTCAGTGTATGATGCTTAGGGCCTGTTTGGATGCTGAGATCAAGCTGAGGCAGCTCATGGCAGTTGTCACAGATAGAAATGCGATGGAGGGTGGCCAGCAGCTTCCTGAGCCAGGTCTCCCAGGGCACAGTTCACTGGGGAGGGGGGCAGCAGAGCCTGTCTGACCTGTGGGTTTGCAGAGCTGGCCGTTTGATGTTGTCAGAACACACAAGTTATTCAGGCACAGAAGGACCACCCCTTGTTAGCCACACTCCCCACTGTGGGAAACTCCGTGCCCAGGCATTCCTTACAAATGGGAGATGTTGTTTCCAAGTGACAAGGCTCTGGTGCCTCTTATCAAAGTGTGTGGGGCCATGTTCATAATCAGTGGTTGTTGGTGGTCACACAGCCGGGACACAGGAACATATTTTCCACACTGCAGTTAGGCGTCACTACCGTCTCCACCCACAGTAGGAAATGGTGTTCCAGGAGCCTGAGGGTGCCCACAGTGGGCCCGGGGGTGGATTAACCAGGCCTTTGTATCATGCACTGATGCAGAAGGGGCTCCTCCGTTCACAGGGCTGGTGACCACCACTGTTTAGGTGACAGTTGTGTATCTGCCATGCTCTAGGCTGACAAGTAAGAAAGAAAATGACTCTGGCTCAGCTGAGTACTAGGAGTTACTGCACTGATGGAAAGCTGAGGGCCCAGGCTGGACACAGGCAGGTCTGGAGGGCCATAAAGCAGGGAGCACAGGAGTGGCCTCACAGCACGGCCAGTCTGGTCTGGGCACCACCACAATTCTGTGTGCCTCTCGCAGGTTTCCAACTCCAAGGAGGAGCATCTTATGTTCAAGCTAAATCCTATGCCTGATCTTAGCCTAGAAGAGGCCCACGCATGAGTCTTCCTAGACTGGCATCTGATGGAAAGAGCATATTCTTCAAAGGAAGTTAGGGTGCTTTTGAGAAGTATAACTCAATGCTGGACTGCTCCAAAGCAACAAATGTCCATATAGAGTTAATAAAGCCCATGGATCATAAAGAGCAAACCTATAATAAAAGGAAGCTGGGTTTACTGGGCAAGCGATGCCCCCAGGCGAACCACGTGGCGCTGTGCGTGGGTGTGGGCCTATTGTAGCACCTGAGTGTCGGCTTCATGGTTCCAAGGAGGATTAGAAGAACACAGGATCTGTTCTAGATTGGATGTTGCCTGGAAGTGGGTGCCGTTAATGATTAAATATATAAATAATTTTTACCTAGGAGGCAGGAAGATTACATGGAGGGTAGAGACTCGTTGGTGGAGAAGCAGCCATCAGTGATGTGAGGCAGAAGAGAGGGATGGTTAGTAATTTTTGTAGTTGTTGAGTATCCTTGTCACTGTCTTATTTCGTGCATGGTCAGCGTGGCCTTGCCTCTTTATATTCTTGGAGTATCTTTAATGTTCATCGAGAACTTTCTGGTCTAGTTAGCAGCTGTGAGCTTTCATCTGGGGAGTTTTTCGTTTTCTCAAAATCTTTGACATTCATCAAAACGGAGCTGGGTTCCCAGCCCTGACTTTCCTCCTAGTGACTTAGAGAAACACCTTAAGGTGACATCTGCACCTTGCCAGTCACATCCTTAGGGACTGTTACCACCAGAACTAGATAAAGGGTGTCTGAGGCATGCCCTACAGGTGCTGACCACAGTAGCCATAAGGGGACTGCAGGGGACTGGGCACAATTTTATTAATGTCTAAAGATTTTACCAACCTTTTCCTTATGCCCAGTGAACCCAGGTTATAACTGAAGGAATTTTTCCCCCCAGGTAGGAGTGGTTGGGATGCCAGGGACTTTTAATGGTTTCCAAGATTGAATCACTAAACAGAATAGCTGGCCCACAAGTTAATGGTCAAAATGCCCCCTTCATACATCCACGTGCCTTCTTCCTCTCATTGTTGATGGCTCGAATGTTCCTGGAAACATAAGGTGGGGATGAGAACCTGGGAGATAATACAGTCAGGCTGGTTGTAGGTGAGGGGCCTCGCTGACAGGGGAAGGCACAGAGGCAAAGAACAAAGACCGCGGGCCTCCTTCGCTGTGAGTTACTTCTCCTCTCGTTGCGTCGCTGCGTGAGCGTCCCGCGCGGGCGCCATGGCAGCGCTGTCCTGTCTGCCGTCGCGGAAACGCCCCTGGGCAGGCCCCAGCACGGCCACGGCCAGCCCGGCTCCTGCCCGCAGGTCCCGTCTTCTCAGGCCCTGACTGCTGTGCAGCAGTGTGCTCTGGGTCCTCTTTCCTGTTTGGCTTCTCGGCTTCCTGGCGTCTCTCTTCGTCTTTCCAGGCTCTTGGTGAATTTGTCCTGGTGGAAAAAGATGTCAAGATTAAGAAGAAAGGGAAGATTTACAGCCTCAATGAGGGCTATGCCAAGTATTTTGATGCTGCCACCGCTGAATATGTGCAGAAAAAGAAATTCCCTGAGGTGAGTGAAGAAAGTCCAGGCCACTAGCAGGGAGAATGTCACGTCTGTGGGGTCCTGTTTGGGCGGTGGCTTCAAGGGCATTGCCAAAAAGCGGTCATTACCAATACTTATGGCTCTGGTCAGCATGAGCATGGTGGACTCTGTCTTTCTTCACAAGCGATCAGTGTCTTTTATAGCTAAAGTGTAGCTCAAATAAAACTTTGAGTTTTTCCAGGAGAAATTGTTTATAGAGAAGGCAGGGACCTCATTTCCAAAATTCAGGTGTTCAGGCCAGAAACTCTCATGTCATAATGTTTGCTAAGCTCCAACCTATGGAGTCACTCACTCACTGTACTTGCTTTTACAAGGAATCATTATTCAAGATGACTTATGTTTATGGAAAAATGGAATTAAGTGATCATAAAAAATATAAACTTTATTTTTCAACATAAGCTCCATCAAGTACAAGTCACTTTTGTAAGCAGTTTAGTGCATCTTTTTTGAACTAAAGGTCCTGGGACTCTAACCATGTTGGTGTAGTCTTTTTACGTTTATGTTATTAACTAAAGAAAAAATGGGTGCCCTTTAAAGATTTTGTTAAGATTAGGAAACAAAAGAAGTCAGAAGGAACCAAATCAGGACTGTATGGTGCATGCTTAGTGATTTCCCATGAAACTCTTGCAGAATTGTCCTTGTTTGATGGCAGGAATGAGCAGGAATTGCAGTGGTGGGAGAGGAGAGGTGGGGATGGTGATGTCCCTGGGTCTGTGAGAGGCTGGAGGGGACAGAACCAGGAGACAAGAAGAGGGTGGGCTGTAGACAGGAGGAGGACACCACCTCCATTATGACAGGAGGAGAGGCGGGACATTACCCAACCCTTGTGGTGGGCACGCAGCACGGGACGTGGCCCCATCTCCAGGAAGCTGCAGTCTGGTTGGAGTGGCGGGACATGGCAGCAGAAAGGATAATAACTGCGTGTGTGAAAAGCCTGCAGGCAAAGACTGCTGGAGTACTGTGCAGGCGTTTACAAGAAACAACTCAAGTTCTATTTTGCTATGTTTGCAAATCAAGCAAGGTTGAGGTCGCTTATGCAACCTAACTGGCTTTGTTGGCTCAGGGATTCTTCAGGCCTGGTCTCCATTTTAATTTACTTTAACAAAATGTTAGTAATGTTACACACACACACACACACACACACACAGAGGTTTCTAACCAAAACCCCTTGAGAGGACTCCAGTTACAACATTTGATCTTATTGGTGTTCACTCAACTCTTGATCCATGAGTCACTCTAGCTTGTGTTCAAGTCTTTAAAATCTGGACAGTTAATTTTGCCAAAAAAATACTAATTTTGAAGCTTGACTTAGCTTATCATTACTCATTATTTGTATGATGCCAAGTTAATCCCAAACATTTTTGGAATACAAAACCCTGGATGGCTGCCCTGAGGACTTTGCTATTTGCCTTTGCACTGTCAGAGAATCACTAGATTAAACAAAGAAATCATAGATCGGTCATGAATGGGGGGAAAACAAACCTGCCTCTGGGAGTAATTTTATCATGTCATCATGCCTTGCCTGCTACGTCCACTTTAAAGAAGATCATGACTTTTGAATTATTTCTCTCTGAACCAACATTCTTTTCATTACATGTGTGACTAATGAAACCAAAGTTTACAAATAAATTGCTTTATGTCTTTAAGTGATTGCTAAAGTAGTTTAAAATTTTGCCAATGGATAAACACTGCTTGTAGTAAGTGCAAAGTTGTCATTGTTCAAGGAGGTCTGGTTCTCCAAAAGCTAAAAGTACTGTGAACTGTAGTAAGCCAAGCAGGAGCTTCAAGGAGCTGCTGAACAACTGTTGTTCATGTAGACATTTTTTTCTCCCCTCCCCTCCTCTTCTCTCCCCTCCCCTTCCCTTCCTTTTCGTTAGCTGCTCTTGTAAGATTGCTACAAGATATTGTCTCACTTTAAGTAGGCCTACATTTAATGAATTCAATCACTGGTTGAAGTTTGAGGGATTCATAATGAATGAAATGCACAATTAAATAATGCTTTCAATTCCTAAGTTGGTGGAGAATAGAGGGTCAGGGACGCAGAGGCCACACCAGCTGGACTTGTGACCCCAGCGCCGGTGCTGGCTAGTTGCCGAATCCACTGGATCTAGGCCCTTCCCTTTCTGCCTTCCAGGACGGCAGTGCGCCCTATGGGGCCAGGTACGTGGGCTCCATGGTGGCCGACGTGCACCGCACCCTGGTCTATGGAGGGATCTTCTTGTACCCAGCCAACCAGAAGAGCCCTAAGGGCAAGGTAATTCTCCCCTGGCCACCGGCCGGCTGCTGGTCAGTGAGCCGTTGGAGTCCCCTCCCCTCACGCCTGCTGCTGGGCTCCTGTGCGCAGCCTGGCACGTGTGTGCATGTGTGCATGTGCGTATATGTGTGTGTGCGTGTGTGTATGTGTGTGTGCGTGTGTATGTGTGTGTGTGTGCGGGTGCGAGTGGGCAGAGGAAGGGAAAGGAGCTCTACTTCCTGCGAGAGGGTTTCCTGCTGTGGTAGGAGATGTGGAGGAGGAAGGCCGACGCTACGGGCACTGGCGGTTCTCGCTGGCCCTCCCTCCTCTGGCGTCACACCCATCCTTCGTTCACTGGGAGCCAGCCGTGTTTACTTCTCACTTTCCTCAGGATGTATCTGACTTTTAGGTTCGGCACCAAGTGATTTGGGAGCATGGACCCCTTAGAGAAACTAATGAAAACTATCAGCCACTTCCCAGAAAAAAATGCATGCAAACTTAACATCGCACACACTTTCAGAGGGCTCACAGATGCCCTGAAGTCCACATAAGAATCCCCTGAGAGCGCCCAAACTCAGGAATGAGAGCTTCTCCTCAGAACTCATCCAATAATTCTGGAAAAGTAGCTCCTAGAAGATCTAAATGCAACTTTATGACACAAAGTTGAAAATACTTGTGTTATCAAGTGGGAATCTTACGATCGGTCTACTTGGTTACAGTCTGGGTTTATTGCCTGACACCCCAAACCTCGCCTGTCCTCCATCCCCCTGACCCAGGCTTGACTGCTTACCGGCCTTAAGTCTCACATAGTAAGGCGTCTAACCAGGCCTGCGCGTCAGTTTGCCTCATTGTTGAGCCAGGAAGAAATGGGTACCTAGATCTCCTATCTCCAAGACAAGAGGCAGGTCTCCCATAAGCACAAAGGTCACAAGACAGGTAGTGCCCCACCTGGCTGGAGAGGCCCCCAAAGGCTTCTGGGACGAGTCCCAGCTGATGCATCCAGCCTTCTGTAGGGTCTAGAGCTCGAGCGGCCCACTCTGTGAGGTGCACTCGCTCTAAGGGGACAGAAGCTCAGCAGTTGAAACTCCTGGAGCTTTAGGGCCTGGCTCGGGATGTTTGGCCACTTGCGGAGTTTATCCTCCTGCCTCTGTTCCTCCACAGCTCCGGCTCCTATACGAATGCAATCCTGTCGCCTACATCATTGAGCAGGCGGGGGGCCTGGCGACCACAGGCACCCAGCCCGTACTGGACGTGAAGCCGGAGGCTATTCACCAACGAGTCCCCCTCATTCTGGGGTCCCCAGACGATGTGCAGGAATATCTCGCTTGTGTGCAGAACCAGGCAGGAAGGTAGTGAGTCTGACCCCATGGGCCTGCTTCTCCCTGCCTTGTACTTGTCCTGAGGGCCCGGAATGAACGATAAACAGAGCCGGTGGTGATGAGAATGCAAAGGCGAGCCCGCCCGACCCCATGCAGAAGAGCAACCACAAACTGCTAGAGACAGGCTCACAAGCCACAGGCGATTCTGTGGTCAACATAAAGGGCTAAAAATAAAACCCACATGTGAAAAGAACAACTTTGATTTGTCTTCTGTCATGAACAGCAGCAGAAGGCGTTGTCATTCCAAGTCCGTCAACCCAAGTAATCAGCAACTAACTATACGCTTGGGGGCAGAAAGTGCATAGATCAGTTAAGGATTTGTCCTGGTTGGCTTAAAGTTTAACCCAATGTCATGTCCTATAGTGATTAATTTTCTCCCTCAAAAATATATATGTATAAATGGCTGAATTTTTAAATTTGTTTTTAAATATATATACAATTTATTTGGTACAAGTGCAATTCGTTACATGCCTAGATTGTGTAGTGGTGAAGTCACGCCGTTTAGGGTATCCATCACCGGAATAACATATGTTGTACTCATTAAATAATTTCTCCTCATATACCCCCTTCCCACCTCCCCACCCTTCAAGTCCCATCGTCTATCATTCCATACTCTACATCTATGTGGGCACATTATTTAGGTCTCACTTATAAGTGGGAACATGCAGTATTTGTCTTTCTGCGTCTGACTTGTTTCACTTAAGATAATGGCCTCCAGTTCCACCAGTGTTGCTGAAACAGGTGCGATTTCATTATTTTCTATGGCTGAATTCTATTACCTTGTGTATATATGCCATGTTTCCTTTATCCAATCCTCCTCTGAGGGACACTTTGCTATTGTGAGTAGTGCTGCAATAAACATTCGAGTGTAGGTATCTTTTTGATACATTGATTTCTTTTTCTTTGGGTAGAGTGAATTAATTTCTTAGAAGAGTTTTTGTCTCTTGTTTTGAATAAGTTTCAAGTTAGAAATCTCACAGCTATTAAATTCTGAAATTTCTGATGGACCCTTTTTTTAGGAATCTGTAACTTGGATGACCAGTCACTGCTTGAATGGAAAACATGTGGTCACCTGTTGACAGAGCCTGATACTAAATGGAGTTAATATTTAAAAATGAATTATCTACTTTTCTCAACCCCTTAACCTTGCATTTTCAGTTTTGGGGGAAATGTTTAAACTATCCCAGTGCCTAACCAGAGTTTACTGGTTAAATGACTCTTTAGGTGTCCAACCTATGTCAAGATTAGGGAGGGGATGGCTTATGCATCCAAAATCTCAACTTGGTTTAACAAGAATTGCTCTGAATGTCTAACGACCTGGAGACCAAAACGTTCTTAATGAAATATTAACAAATCAAATCCCAAAGCATTTAAAATAAAGATCCATCAGGATAAAGTCTGACTTAATCCAGAAATTCAAGAATGATTCAACATGAGAAACTCTATTACAGTAATGACTTAGACTAAGGGAAAAGGGGGTGTTGTGGGGAGGGGGGGAAGGGCTCAGAGCAGCCGTGGGCGGAAGCAAGGCCCTCCTTTCCCGTGTTAGCCGTGGGCAGGGCGGTTTGCACAGCCTGCAGGCATGCTTCGGCTTATGTATAATTCTATACTCAACATTGTTCCTCAGTGCACCATGGCTTGGCAGCTGTAGCAGATGCAGCAAAATGTTAATACATAATCAAAACTTTTTCATCTTCCCAGAAAGGAAGAAAGATTTTTCTTTTTGTAGGAAAAATTGTGATTCTAAACAATGGGCCCTTAATACTTTCTTGGGCACTTTATCTAAGATTTATATCCCAAAGTCTTGAGCTGAAATTTTCACTTCAAAATATCTTATGAATACCTTGGCTCCGTGAGTTTGCAGCGTGTAGTGTCAAGAGTACCCACCAGGAGGAGCAGGTCTTGTTGGAAGCCAAGCCGATCAGCAGCACCTTCGGTCATGGCCTACATTCCTTTGGTGGACGTGGTAGATCTCAGGGAAGATGCATTGGCCGTTCATATACATTCTTCTTAAAGCTGAGACTCTGGGTCCCCGCAGGTCAAATGCAAGGACAGGGTACTAAGCAAGAGGTTGGGACTCTCATTCCATTCTCAGAGGCTACCCATCATATCAAACATTCGAGGGCATCAGTGCAACAATGCCTTGGTTACCAGACATTTTACAGGCAGAGTCCAGAAAGATCATTGGTTGGGCTCTCTGCCTAAGTGATCTGAGACCCTCTTCCCTCCCCATTGCCTTTCCAATTTAAATGATTGTGTCTGCCCCAGGAGAAATCTAATTGTTCTTTCCATTCTCAAGGATTCCCAAAGAGTACAGGGTACAGGTCTGGCCCCACTCGGGGAACGTGGGACCATCCATGGAGGAAGGGGTCTCCAGTTGGACTTTGGGCAGATGGGCGTCAGCAACTGGAATGCAGAGCCATTAACACATCGAAAGGATAAAAGCCATTGGACCATGTTAATAGGTACTTTTTAAAAAGAAGAAGAAAACAAGCTGTTTCAAATTGGTGGGAAAGCATGACTAGTGTTAGGATAATTAGCTAGTCATTTAGGAAAATAAATAAAGCTTGATCTCAAAATATATCCCAGGTGAATTACAGAATTAAACATAAAAAATCCTATAAACCTATTATAGAAATATCAAGGAGAGTATATTTATGACCTTAAATGCGACCAAAAGATATAAAGCAACAGATATAAAGGAAAGACAAATGTGACAACATCAAAATAACATGCCACAAAGTTAAAAGACAATTGACAGCCAAGGGGAAAATATTTGTAACATATGACAAAAAGTGAAACAGCAAGAATTGCACATGTTAAGAGGAAAAAGATAAACTATCCATAGAGAAACTAAAGATATGAAACTGCAATTTGCAGAAGAGAAAGCACAAATCAATAAACACATGAGAAGATGGTTAGCCTCACTGATGATCAGGAAAATGAAAATAAAACAACTTACCACTTTTCACTTACCAGATTGACAAAAACAAAAAAGGATCCAGCAATCCCATTACTGGGCACGTACTCAAAACAAAAAGACATTCTATAAAAAAGACATCTGCACTAGAATGTTTACAGCAGCACAATTCACAATTGCAAAGATGTGGAAACAACACAAATGCCCATCAATACATGAGTGGACTAATAAAATGTGGTATATGCATACCATAGTGTTCTGCTCAGCCACAAAAAACAATGGTGATATAGCACCTCTTTTGTTATCCTGGATAGAACCGGAGCCCATTCTACTAAGTGAAGTCTCAAAGAATGGAAAAACAAGCACCACAATGTACTCACCATCAAATTGGTATTAACTGATCAACACTTAAGTGCACATACAGTAATAACATTCATTGGGTGTTGGGCAGGTTGGAGGGGGAGGGGGGGCTGGGTATAGACATACCTCGTGGGTGTGGTGTGCACCTTCTGGGGATGGACTCTTTTGAAGCTCCGGTGGGACAAAGGCAATATGTGTAATCTAAACATTTGTGCCCCCATAATATGCTGGAAAAAAAACAAAACAAAGACTGATATTTCAAATGAGCCCAAGGTGTTGGGAGATGCCCCCCCAGGAGAGGACTCTGGGCACAGTCTTCTGGGAGGGCAATTTGGTCAGGTCTGTTAACATTGGCAAGTTTAAATGTGCAGTTCCCTCTGACCCAGGAGGCTGAGATCGTGGTATCTGCATAAAACCCTATAGTACCTTTTAAAAATCACATATTGTTTATAACAGTAAAAAGACGAGAACAATTTCAATATCCATCAGTAGGGTGGGAATTGATAGGTGGAAAACTAGGCAGCAGTTTGAATAAGTTGGGACTTACAAGCCCACTCCAGTCTCTCATGATTAAGGAAATAAATACCTTCCATATTTTTATGCAAAGACATTCTTAACATCAAAATAGACAAACGCAGAAAGAAATATATATATTGGCTGGAACCCTAAAGACCTTTTACTTCCTTCCAACCTGATGATAATTTTTGACATGTTCTTTACTCTCTGGCTTCACTTTCATCTAATGACATCCAACCAACTCCTTTTTTTTCTGCGAGGAAGAGAAAAAGCATGAGAAAGATATGAAGGCAAAGTAGGAGATAGTGGGGGGGTTTATAAGGAGAAGGTGGGTCTGTACATCAGTCAGGTTCTCCAGTAGGAGGCATGCATGCGCCGCACACACTCAGAGTTTCTTTAAGGAACTGGTACACGTGGTTGCAGGGGCCGGCAAGCCTGTGGGGCAGGTGGGTGTGCTGGAAACTCAGGCCGGGTTTCTATGTTACATGCTCCAGGCAGGATTCCTTCTTTTCCAGGAAAACTCAGTATTCCACTGACCGGATGAGGCCTACTCACATTATCAAGAGCAACCTCCTTTACTTAAAGTCAACTAATTGTAAATGGTGATCTCATCCTCACAGTAACTCCACAGCAACCTCTAGACTAGTATTTGGCCAAATAGCCTAGTCAAGTTGACACATAAAATTAACGGTCACAGTGTCTGAGTAAAACAGGAAAGATGGCCAAGCTGTAATGGTAGGTGAGAAAGGCATTTTGCAAATGGATGTGACATGATACCACTTTGTAAAATTAAAAAAAAAAAAAATTTTTTTAAAGAAGAAGAACACAACATCCCCCAAACTTAAAAAATGTACGTAGCTGAGAAACAGAGCAGTAAGGGGCCTCCAAGGGTCGCCAGTCTGAGCTGTACTCCTTTGGTACCTGGGGCACTAATTGCCGCCAGAAACAGCGGACGAGCCTTCTCTGGCCAGGCCATCTGGCCTGGTGGTCTGGGCGTCCGGAGCCCGAGTGCTCGTTACGTGCTGCAGACATTGTCTTCTCTGTGGACCGGGCCTCCACCAGCTGCAGGGCCCCGAGGAGAGGCTGCTCACAGCCAGCCCAGGAGAAACCAGAAGCCGTGAGCAGGAAGCAAACTCTTCAGGGATTCTAGGGCACATGGACACAGAGGCGCACATGGGCACTGCCACGGGCATCGCCTGTGCTCAGAACCTAACCATCTGAGGCCAGGAGCAGCATTACCACCAAAGGGCCATCGCCCCAGGGTGGGGCCCACTTCCCTTGCCGTCATCCTGGAATCCTGTGCTCACAGTGCCGGTCACTGACCAGGGATAAATGGGGCGTCTAGTGATAGCAGCTCTTTCTTTCTCTTTACACACTGTGCCAAGAGATGGACGGTT